AGAGAGAGAGAGAGAGAGAGAGAGAGAGAGAGAGAGAGAGAACAATGAATTGAGAACTTAATGAGCTGTGGAGAAGCGTCCTTTCAGTCAACCGCAAATTAAATGAGTGTGTTGATTGTCGGTAAGACAGGTCAAATGGGTGAGTTTCCCACTTGTACATGCACGGCTGATCATTAAAGGTAGCTAGCACCTCTGAAATTTTGTTGATTCACTCTAACAGTTATAATTTATCAGAATCGTTGCATCTGGACGAACTAATCTTTGCTCTTCAACCTAGAATAGGGTCTGGTGACCAAGGGATTGCAAATACGATTGCTATGCTGATGATCTCAGACTACCTCCGGATTTTGATCCATGCAGATGTCGCATGGTTGTCAGTAGAGCAGGTAACCACCAGCTGGGCGGAGTAGAATCCGGCAAAAGATTTGAATGAATCAGTATGGCGGATTCAGTTAGCTCACTTCGACCAGTATTATAGGCCGTCTGTTTTTCTTCGTTCTACTCACTAGTCCAAATTGCTGTCTTCAGTGGCTTCATGCAGTACGAGACTTTAAATGTGCACCACCTGATGGGATTTCGCAGAAGGTTGGTGTTACATGCGGCGCCTGCACACGGGCCCCACTTGAGGGGCCCGGCGGTTGCTAAAGGGGCCCCAGGCTGCGCCCCAGCCAGCACGCACCCTGGAGGCCCACGGCGGCCTTTTGGCCACAGGTACCGGCAGTTGTCCGTTCGGACGTCGTTTCGGACTGCAGGTCCCAAGGCAACACCTTGGGCCAGGTACACAGGGCCTAGGCCATTTTCAGGCCAGGCACGTTTTGGCACCTCACTGCATCAGCAGCGCGGTCTGGATACCCAGTAGGGGCCCAGACCGAGTAGGCCGTTTGAGGCCAGCACCTGGAAAACGCCCAGCAGGCCCAGCGCTACTTATAGCTGGGCTGAGGCTGGGCTGGGCTGAGGACAGTTCGGGTAGCTCACTCCTTGAGCGACACGCTGCTGGTTGGAGGCTGCCCTATTTTGGCGCTGCGCTGCAAGGCTGGGGAGTAGAAGCGTAGGAGGTAGAGAGAGGCGGAGGCCCTACCTGTAGTGGCGAACTTACCTGGCGCCATAGCTGGGGCTCCATGCGGTACCTGCACAGGACGACCACGACGGTCAGTACTGCAGCAGCTACCTGCAGGTGAGGCAGCAAGGAGGGCGACATCTTCTCCCTTCTCGCCCTCCATCTCGTCTCCCTCTCTCCTCCGTCTTCCTCCTTCCTCTTCTTTCTTCTTCATCTCCTTCTTCAGATACGAGAGCGAGAGAGGTTACAGGCAGAGGTTACTGTGGGCAGAGTGCCCAGGATCTGATCCGACATTTCTGAGGCAGACATTGATTGGACATCGGCAAGGGACTATTTTTGGACTTCACTATTGTGATCCTGGTCTTCTCCCTCGCCTCCATCTTCATCTCTCCTCTCCCCCCATCTCTCATCTGTGGCATCTCCCCATGTGCGTGTACAAAGGAGGGACCTTTCTTCTATGTGTGTGGTCCCTCCTCCTCTCTCACATGTGTGACGAGTGATGGAGTGTCGCGTCAGTCCCGGTCAGGTCAGGACTTATCTCAAAGTCTTCCACTGCGCTACTTTGTGCCATTTTGTATGTATGAGGGTGTAAATTGCCTGTTGATGTTTCACTAACATTCCATTGTCCATTCAGTCCTCTTCATCACATTGCGGATCCTTGGCTGTACATACATTGCCCAACTGGGCATGTATCGGTTGGTGCGGACACTTGTGTTTCCTCGTATCTAGCATTGGCAATCTCCATAGAGTAATGCACATTGCCATCTTAGTCAACAAAGGTTTCTTTCAACAGTGAACTTCGGCATATTTAAGAAAGGACAGAACAGGAGAGAACTTTTGCATCAGGGAATTTGTGATTAATTACTTTTTAAGTTTTTATCCTTTTTTAAGTTTTTACGTGAAGTTCGTTCCACAATGACCCACCTCCTTTCATATGATAACGCTTAAAGCTCTCGCCGTCTCGAACATCCAGCAACAAGAAATCAACCTGTCCCTGCAATTGTTGACAATCACCACCAAGTGAAACCATATATCAATGCTACACAGAGACATAAACAACTGGACAGCCCCATAGACAGGTGGGAAAAGGCAAACACATAGGTAGAAGATAGACAGACCCCAATATCAGTGATAGTTAGAGCCTGACAAACAGGAGGGCGGATGAGTGGATGGGTGGACGCAAGGATAGGTGATAGAGGGATAGGAGTAGGTGCATAGATAGACTGATCTATGTTGGTTTGGTTCCAGCAGATGTATGGATGGTGGGATGAGAGATGGAGTGGATGTATGTGTTTGTGGACGGATGGCATAGGATGAGATATGATGGGATCTCATGGGCAAACAGACCAACAGATAGATTGATGGACAGCCGGAGCTGGGCATTGTTGAGAACAACCACGCAAGCACACATTGAAGAAGGTCACATTTTCACTCCAGAAGGGTTGAACAGTTGAACCATGACCTTTGGTATACGGTGCCATGCTCACTGTGGCCTCCCTCCACCACCCACCAAACGGGATTTGACATGGTGAGTGCTCACCACAGGGAATTCTCACCAACTAGTTTCATCGCCCCGTTGCCTCACCAAACTCACAGGCGCATGCCCATCTCAGGCGCAGAACCAAGGAAACCCTACAAGACGATGCGACGAAACACTGAAAATGCACAGATCTGACTCATCAGACTCAGGACATGACATATACATGTTACATGCAGCGCCTGCAACAGGCTGCACGGGCCATTTTCAGTCCCGTTTCAGCCTAAAACAGGGCCTTTCCGGCCCTGAGTCTTTTCAGCCTGAAACTGAGGGCCATTTTCAGGCCCTCATAAGATCGACCTGCCCTGAAGCTCAGGCGCCAGACCAGGGTTTTAGCACAGGCCATTTTGGGCCTGTTTTCAAGACAACCCTTGCTTGAGCTTCAATGCCAGGGTCTGGCACGTTTTGGCATTGGCAAGGGCAGCCTCCTGGACGGGCCAGCACTATATAGGACTGGCCCGCCCTAGGTACTTCCCAGGCACTTCACTTGCAGTTCAGGAGGCAGGAGGTAGTCTTCAGGATTCGGCAGCAGCACTCTGGAGGAGCGCTGCAGGAGTAGTAGTAGCGTTAGCAGTAGTCTTCAGCACTGGGCGCTAGTAGGAGCTACAGTAGTACTGGAGAGAGAGAGAGATTGGGCGGAGGCGAGGGAGACTTACCTGCAGCGCCATAGCTCCAGCTTCGTCTTCGAGGTACCTGCAGCACAGCCCCAACTTCACAGGTTAGTACCTGGCACGTGAGAGAAAGAGGGAGTTCTTCTTCTTCCTCTTCTCAGTCCACCATCTCCCTCTCACCCTCTCGCTATCTGACTTCACTGCATCAGCAGACTACGCGCGCGCGCGCGCGCGAGAGAGAGAGAGAGAGAGAGAGAGAGAGAGAGAGAGAGAGCTTGGTGACATGTGGATCCAGACTCGACATTGGGCTTCAGACATTTTGACGAGGGATTATTTGGGACTTGTAAGGAAGACTTGGTGTTGACACTTTCACATCTCCCCCCTCCTCTTCTTTGTCTTTTCCACTCCTCTTCGTCTGTGCATGATCTGGACCGCACATTCTTCCTGAGTGTAGCGCCAGGCCTCCTTCACACCTTGTGATAAAGATGATGTATGTTTAGTCTGCATTGCAACATTGATTGGGCTCGTCATTGGTATCACACCATGTGTAGCGCCAGGCCACCTGAAATTTCCGTATTTGTTTTTATTCTGAAAATTCGAAATTTCGTTGTTGGAAATCCGGAATATCTTTTTTTTGAAAATTTCGATTTCCTTTTTCCCATTATTTTGAATTTCCGAAATTCGTTTTTTTTTTTTTTTTAACGGTACGGGAAATCCCTCTTGCAGTTATCATTCTCCAAACCGCGCGTACTCTCATCTGAGTAATTCCGAATATTTTTTTGCACTTTATTTTCGGAATTCTTTTATCGGATAATCATTTGTGGTCTGAAAGTTCGAAAAAAAAATTCTCATTGGTAATTTCGCACTTCAGGGGAAATTTGGAGGCCTACTGAACTTGCAGACGAGTATTTTTTTCTTTTTCTCGAATTTTTTGCAAAGTTCAAACTTTTCTTTTTTTATTAGTGGCTCCTTATCTGGGCGATTTATCCCACCCCTCCCCACCTATGTTGTTGCCCCCTCTGGTCTTCTCTATCTGTTTCCGGGTACCCCCTGCGGCGGCATTGGTGAGTTGCCACGTCAGCAGGCCATGTCAGCAGGACACGGCAACAGTGCCATGTCAGCAACCAGTCACCGCAGCAGCAGGTCACGTCAGTGCATGGTGCTCACCCGCTCAAAGACAAGCGGCATGGATCAGCAGCCAGGCGAGACTACCGAGGCCTATGAGACCCGCATGCTGGACATGGTAGCAGAATTCAAGCGACGGGCAGCTGCGGCAACATCTGCACGTAAGAAGGAAGATGAGAAAGCAGAGGAACAGCGTCGCCTTGCTGAACAACAGCGACACGAGGTGATCGCCGGCGAATGGGCAGTGGCTGCTGAAGAGGAGGGTGGCCCCCCTGCTGTGCGTGGCCTTGCAACCACAATCGAACATGTGAGTGACTTGGTCGCCACCTGTGCAGCACAGCAAGAGGACATCCTCTGCGTGGACACCCTGGTCCAGAAGCAGGCTCGACTTATTGACGAACTGCTTGACCGGGTACGCCGGCTGGAACAGCAGCTTACAACAGCCACCCTCGCCGGACCCTCCAACTTGACGGACCGTGTCAACGTCTTGGAAATCGACGTCGAGACTCTCAAGGACGGCGATCTAGCGACAAATCAGCGGATTGACCAGCAGATTTGTGCTGCCGCAGCCAGTCCGACCGCGACTACTCGCGAGAGCATCCCAAAGTTTGACGGCCTGCCGATCTTCTGCGATGCAACGAAGACAGACCCGATTCCATGGTGGCGCCAGTTCGAGTTGAAGTTGGACATTCACCATGTCAGCAACCCGAACTGGCACGCATACTTATACTCCCGCTCGGGGGGCGCCTGCCAGGCATGGCTGGACAACATGTTGTCCACGCACAACGTCGCAGTCTCCGAGCTGCATACGAAGAACAGCTGGGCTCATCTCAAGGCAGCATGGCATAAGCGGTTCCAAGTGGAGCCGCCCGAGCTTCAGGCAGCCGAGAAACTGCAACGGTTCTATCAGAATGACCTGCCAAGCACGGACTGGATAACCGAGTACCAACGCTTGGCATCCACGCCCAACTTGCCGTCAACATTTGTCACTATCAAGCACTTCTTCATCAGGAGGAGCTGTCCGGCGTTGCAGAACGCCTTGATGCAAGTTGCGGAGACGCTCACCACAAGTGAGCACCTTTTTTATAAAGCCTCGCAGATCATCGTGACAAACACCGAAGCCAAGAATTTGGGCCATTCGTCCGCGAGCCAGGGCAGAGATCAGCATCGGACGAAAGTGGCCGTGGTCGCAGCAACTACAGCGACCGACCCTTCAAACGAGGCTGTTTCCTCTGATGAAGGAGACAGATTGGCAGCCGCCCCGGGATGGTGGCTGCCCCGCCAGAGGGCGAGGATGTGGCAAACCGAAGACACACACCAATTCATCCCCCGGGGCCGGACCAGCAGCTCAAGAGCCTTGGACACATTACGGTATCTCGGACGGCGTGTACCACATCCGTAACAAGTATCGATACTGCTTGTGGTGCAACAGCGCGGTGCACGACACCGCAACGTGCCCCACGCAAGTCAAAGGCAAATTCCCTTCGGGAAAGCGAGCACTGCCGAGAGTGATGCGGCTGCACTCTCGACGCCTTCGGAACCGGTTGCTTCGCGAGCGACCTCTCTTCATTCCAAGGCACATGCGGAAGTCGGCGGTCCTCTCTTATATTCTTATAAGGACTATGCTGCCCGGCTCGTTCCTTCATTGGGTTCTCAAGCTCAAGGACAAGATGTGTGTGCGGCTTCTTCTCCGTCCGGCAACAACGACAATGAATTGTCTTCAAGTGGTTCTTCAAGGGATTCAACGCACGAGTTCAACATAGAGGTCTTGGACCCGTTGACGTCCGAGGATTTTGCATGGCTTCCTCTCCCTTCCACAGGCTGCTTGTCGGGACCGCAATGTGCAGCACTATGCGCCCATCTCCACACATACTTAGCCTTCTATGCACCACCACCTTCGCCGACGTATGACGAAGCTGCGGTGGGGGACATCCTTGTGTATGTTAGCAAGGTGGCCCACGAGTTTCGCACGCAGCGGTACGATGATAACAACGCACCGCTCCTTTATGTCCGCATCCAAGTTGGGCAAGCGTCCTGCAGCACTTTGCTGGATAGTGGCGCGACTCGCAATTTCATGAGCCAAGCCTTCATCCAAAGGGCCGGCCTTGGCGCACAAGTTTGAAGGAAGCCAAACCCGACGACGATCAAGTTGGTGGACGGTCGGACGCAACAACTCCTCGATCGCTACATTGAAGTTGTGCCGGTTAATTTCGCACCTCATGCACACGAACCAGTGATGTTTGACGTCTTGGACACGGACTTCGACATCATTTTGGGAATGGCTTGCAAGTGCGGATCGCACAGTTAACTTCCATCGGCGGACACTTACCGTTCGCGACGCCTTCAGCGTCGAGGTGCTGTGTACCATTCCTCTTCCGCACCCCTCGATCCGGTGCCAAGTTGTAACGGCCAAGTCTTTTGGGGCCACTTGCGCTTACGAGCGGACTGATGAGATAGGCCTATGTTTTCTACGAGCCGTCGCGACGACCGAATCTTCACCTACGGACTTGTCTTCGGACCCCCGTGTGGTGCGGTTGCTCAACGAGTTCACCGACATCTTCGAGTCTCCTACCGATGTGGTGCCGGATCGGCCTATCTCCCATGAGATAATTCTTGAGGCCGGTGTCGTCCCGCCAAAAGGATGCATCTATCGCATGAGCGAAGAAGAGCTCGCGGTTCTTCGCGCGCAACTCGATGATTTGTTGGACAAGGGCTGGATCC